CGTGCTGTGTTTGTTGCCGTGCTGTGCTGTGCTGCGCTGTGCTTTGCATCTCTCTCCGATTCTTCTGGAACGGAAGAGAGAAAGACAATTGTCTGGCAGGCAAGGCAGGCCAAGCTACATTCACGCTGATTGTTGAACCAAGCAGGGCAGAAAGGCTTCACTTGCCTTTGTCTCGAAGGGAGCACTCTCAGGCTGTCTGCCATCGAGCTGCCCGCTGTCACTCACCCCTTGCTCACTTACTAACTCCTCCTTGTTTCACTCAATTCACGGCTGCCCTTCATCGCCGCACTTGTTGCCGTCTCAGTTGCGGCCGGTCTGTTAATTCTCTCTTAGTCAGGCCCACCGAGATCCAAGGGGGAGCAAGGCCGAGCAAACAGGAAGAGAGAAAAAGGGAGAAAGCCAGTACAGTCCGGTTCAGGGCGGCCAAAGGTGTTGGTGGTTGTGTTTGTCGCGTGCCCGCAGCCGCCTGCTTACACCTCGCCAACTTGTTCTGTCCAGGTGCTGGCAGGGCGTGTGTGAGGTGTCATCCCGCCGCCGATCCCCGTGGGACGGAACACCACGCAGGGGAGAAAGCCGGATCTGAGATAAAGGAATAGACAACCCCGACCCGACTCACCCGCAACAAAGACGCACAAAATGGGCCTCCTGTATGTATCCCCTCGCCCCTTACTTACCACCCCGTGGGGGAACCAATGCCGGGACGGCCAGGCAGGCAGATCTCTCGGCCGCCCGTGACGCCATGCTGATCTACCACATGTAAAGCGCCCAGGGAACCGCTCTGGATTGGCCCGATGCCAAAAAGCAGGCACATCTGGTCCGGGCCTGGGGCATCAAGGTGAGACCAAGACCTCGTCCACACCCCCTTTTTGCATCCCAAGACGGCCCTTGCCGAGGAGGGGCCGCATCTTCCACGCGGCGCACGTGCCTAAGTCAAGTCACCAAAGGACGAGGCTGGCTGACACTCGGCGCAGCAACTACTCGAGATATGGAACAGGGCCAAGGGGAAAGAACGGGATGCCATGCTCTGGGGCGACGAGGTAAACACGCACCGCACTTCTCCGCTTCGGCCTAGCAACCCCTGACTGACGCCTGTCCCTCTCCCAGGTCGAATACCTCGTCGTGACCTACTCAAAGGAAGACCCCAAGGTGCTGCTGTCCCTGAGGCAGGCAGACATCCTCGAGGCCTTGGCCAATGACCAGAGCCTGGCCGCCAAAGGGGGCGGCGTCCCTGACATCCAAGGCGATGTCGCGTCTCGGTAAGAGGAGTCTCGACGATGCATCGCGATGCCGACCTCATGCTCACAATGCCTGCTCTGCTGCTCTACAGGACCGACGACCCGTTTCCCGTCTTCCACCCAGAGTTTGGGCGATTCATGCTCGAAGCCACGCCGGGCAAGCCGTGGGGCATCGAGTTCAAGGAGCTGCTGAATGTCGAGCCAGACATGAAGCTGAGGTAATTGCTCGTCTTGCACATCGTGTATCGTTCGTCATTGTCTCGACGTGCCGTCAGTCTAACATGAGTTGGCCGATGACAGGAGACGCATCGCCAAGGACCACATGCTGCCGACCGAGTTCCCCATCACGCTGACGACTTTCCCGCGGCTCGGCAGCCCCGGCGTGTTCACGGACCCGGCATACCCCGTGTCGGGGCCCAAGCTGCGGTCCCAGTTCGTGCCCGACGAGATCGCGAACCCGCACATCCGCTTCCCCACCCTGGCGGCCAACATCCGCTCGCGGCGCGGGTGCAAGGTGCAGGTCAACGTGCCCGTGTTCCGCGACGAAAAGACGCCGTGGCCGTGGAAGGACCCGACGGTCAACTACGACCTGCACCAGTGGCCCGAGGATGACGACGTGCGCACCGGCGGCGCCGCACCCGACAACTTCATCCACATGGACGCCATGGCCTTTGGCATGGGCAGCTGCTGCCTGCAGATCACCTTCCAGGCCAAGAACATCACCGAGGGCCGCCAGATGTACGACCAGCTGAGCCCGCTCGGCCCCATCCTGCTCGCCCTGACCGCCGCCACGCCCATCTACAAGGGCTTCCTGGCCGACACGGACGTGCGGTGGAACCAGATCAGTAAGGCCGTCGACGACAGGACGGCCGAGGAGCTGGGCGACAAGGTAAGACATCCCATCCCGCCGTGAGGGCGAGTGCTGACTCGTGCGGCAGCCGCTGCAAAACGACCGGTGGCGGATACCAAAGTCACGGTACGCGTCCAACTCGACGTACATCTCGACGGACGCGCGGCTGCGGCCCGAGTACATGGACCCGAACCTGGTCATCGACGAGGCCATCAAGCAGGAGCTCGAGGAGGGCGGCATGGACTCGCGGCTGGCGACGCACTTTGCCCACCTGTTCATCCGCGACCCCATCGTCATCTTCGCCGAGGACCTCGAGACGCTCGACCTCAGCAAGACGGACCACTTTGAGAACATCCAGAGCACCAACTGGCAGCACATGCGCTTCAAGCCGCCGCCGGCCGACAACAGCATCGGCTGGCGCGTCGAGTTCCGCCCCATGGAGATCCAGATGACCGACTATGAGAACGCCGCCTTCGCCGTCTTCATGGTGCTCATCACGCGCGCCATCCTCAGCTTCGACCTCAACTTCTACATCCCCATCGCCAAGGTCGACGCCAACATGGAGACGGCCCACGCCCGCGACGCCGTGCTCGACCGCAAGTTCTACTTCCGCCGCAACCTATTCCCCGCCCGCCCGCCGCGCCGCGCCGCCTCGGCCTCGTCATCGGGCGCAAACACCCCCGTCGGCCCCGGCAGCCGCCCCGCCACCCCGCCCGCCGGCCCCGTCGAGGACGAGTACCGCCTGATGTCGGTCAACGAGATCATCAACGGCACGGCGTACGAAGCCCGCTCTTCTTCTGGGGCCCAACAAGAACAACAGCCCTCTGATGAAGGCGACGAATTCTTCCCCGGCCTGATCCCCATCGTCGAGTCGTACCTCGACTCGGTCAACGTCGACGTGCTGACCCGCTGCCGCCTCGCCACCTACCTCGACCTCATCCGCATGCGCGCCTCGGGCGAGCTGTGCACCGCCGCCGCCTGGATCCGCGCCTTTGTCGCCACACACCCCGCCTACGCCCGCGACAGCGTCGTCTCGGACGAGATCACCAAGGACCTCGTCGCCGCCGTCATCGCCATCGGCGAGAGCGAGCAGGCTGGCCGCGGCTGGGCTGCGGCCGGCGTCCCTGGCCTCGAGCGGTTTCTGGGCCCGTTTAGAAGAGGGGCCGCGTGATGTGCTATGGTATGGCAAGAGGGGCTGTGGGGGTGTTTTAATTGGTGGTGGTGGTGGTTTTGTGTTTGTGTTCTCCTCTTTTTTTTTTTTTTTTTTCAATAATACCGGGGGGAGGTATACACTGCTTCTTTTGTGTGCTCGTATGCCTATGTGTGCTTTGTGCTGTGTGTTGTGCGCATCTCGCTTTGCCCGTTTTGTATGCAGATGAAGAGAAAGAGACGGCAACGGCGGCTGGTTGGCTTTATTATAGCTACTTATTGCCCTTACCATTAACATTACCCTTACCGTTACCTACCTTGCTACCTATTTACTTACTTAACTACTTACTTAGCTCGCTACACTTGAGCGGCTTTATTGCTGAGTAGGCGGGTTACTGACTGACCGAATGGGTTTGCTGCTGCGTTATGTTTTGTCTTCTCCCATTGAGAGAGAGAGATTGTGTATCTACCTGGTCCCCTACCTACTTGCGTAGGTTCTGACGAAGGACAAGGTCACATCCGTCTAGTTATCTATCTACTGTCTTCTCTATCTATTTATATTGACTTCTCCACTGCGTCTCAGTCTTGCTTCTTTCACCTGGCTTGCCTTGCCTTGGCTTGCCTTGCCTTGGCTCCCTAGGTAGTTAGTTATGAGATATCCATGCCTAGAAGCGCGTGTGGTCTCCTTTCCCGCGCTTTGTTACCAACGTCTGCTATCTTCCTTCCTACCAAGTGTATGCTGGTTGGGTAGTACGTACTAGGTAGATAGGTCGATCTATGCTTTTATACGTTTCTGATTCGCTCCAGGAACAGTTTCGATTATTGGGGGGAGGGGGTCTTGATGTTTACGGGCAGTTTAGCTAGAACACAGACCAGGAAGAAACTGGTGTTCACAGCCGTGATCTTTGTCTGAAGCAGTAGGTTGTTTCCACATTGGAGTCACGAGAACGACATTTGTCATGGGTTCAACAGCAAGAAAAGCACCCTAGATTCTATATATATACCTACCCACATCTACGCACCAGACGATACGTCGCAATATTATATGCAAGCGCTAAGTAATACACATGGACTGAGCCTCTACCCTATCTACCATTCATTCGTTCAGTCGTCATCTCTATCCCGGAGTGCATTTCCACAGCAGTCCGGGACGTGATATGCGCCAACATGGCTGACGACAGACACATATAGCCATAAACAGTGAAGACTTCGGGATCCCGTCCGCTCTCCCCTAGACAAGTTACTAATCGTCTAACTAGTAGCTAGGTCGTTGACGACCAACGAATCCCAGATGCTGTATGTTTTTTGTTTGATTTATTGGGGAGAAGGGGGGTCCGATGGGTCCGGCTCGGTTATAAGTAGCAGACGGGAAAAACACAATGGCATGCAACGCATGGCGTAGTAAGGTGAAGGGATGCCGAGTATCTACAAGTAGATATAGAAATGTCAGGTAGGTAACGCCTGGCATGTCTTCATGTGAACAAGTCCTCACTCAAGGGGTAGCCCAAACAGGTGACTTGAGGAACTCTTTTTCCTTCATTGTCATTGACCAAGGTAGAAGGTTTCTCAGTTAGTCGTAGAATAGTCTAAGCAAGCATAGACAAAACTACCTATGCACATGCCCTGCGGTATAATTACGCAGAGAATATCGCGAGGAGTTCCCTTTCTTTTTGACAAAAGATAAAAAGGAAAAAGAAAAAAACTCAAAAGCCCGAGATTGAAGGAAAAGAGAAAAAAGGAATGCACCCAACTCGTTGTGGGAATACTGGACGGGCTGGGAATCGAACCCAGGACCTTTCGCAATGTAGACTGAGGCCCAGGAGGATCCAGAGGATGATACTAGGTGAGTGGATTGCTAAGCGAACGCTCTACCAACTGAGCCACACGCCCAAAGCCGTTTGTGAGTAACGAGTCGTGTGCTTCTGATGGAGAGGGCTATGGTAATTTCGGTAGATAAGTTGCATGTGCTTTTGCGTATGGGGAGTGCCCTTTTTCTTTTTTTTCAGCGACTAAAGTCTTTTGTTTACCACGTTCTCCCAAACCCCCCTAGCCCCTATTTGTTTGCTCGCCTTACGCAGCCAACCTAGCAACCACAACAGCTCAGTCACTTTGGATACTCCATCGTATATATGCACTTATCTAAACCCCCCCGTATACCACAAGATGCAATGAAATTCGCCTAGGCGGTAAGAATATTCTCTACCAACCCCGAACACACAAAAACAGCTCACACTCGCGCATCGCTACTTGAGTCATTTGGTATCGCCCGACCCAAGGCCAGCCGACCCAGACGCCGCATCACCACGGCCACAGCGCATTTCCATACCGAAGGGAAATAAAAAAGGGAAAAAACCCAGCTACCCGCTTGCTTGCACAGCGACAACGCCTACCTGCAAGGTCCCTTGCTGCAGCACCTCTACTCAACCATGCCCCGCCCTCCTGGGCGAGGGCGAGGACCCTGACAGCAAAACACCGGAAACAAGAAACCGATGACATAGCTGTGCACGCAGGGTCTGAGACCGCGGCGGCCCTGGCCGGTGGCGGGAGCGGGTGCTCATTGGGCCGATGTACCGCAACGAGCGCAGAGATGGAGATCGTATCGTGTTCATACACACCTCCCAAAAAAACGTAAAGATGAGACAGACGTCTCGATCTGGGGAGGCCCATGTGTGTGTACAACTCTGAGAGAAAAAAAAGAGGCTGGTTGTCCATCCCGTTGAGGACCCTGGGTCTGAACTGGGCCCTCAAGCAAGGACGAAAGGAACCCTCTCTCCAAAAAGAAATCCAGGGTCCTGCTGGGAAACGCAACGTGTTACTTACTCGTGCTCTGCCGTGTTGCTGTGCAATGTCGGTCCGGCGGCTCGCCCGACACCACGCATGCACCCTTGTTGCCACGGCTCCTGGCTACCAGTTCCCTTCGCACCGAGAGTTGGACAGACAGAAACAAGGGACCAAGGGAAATGAAACTTCCGTGTCTCACGTGTTATGTCATCCGCCGGGGGCTTGGTGCCCCCGAAGACGAGAGAGACCTTCTAGAAGGTGAGACGAAAAGACACGACCCCCACCTAAGACGGAGAGCCATGAGCACTTTACTAACGTTCTCAAGGTTGGATCGTCTTGTGCCAGCCTTGCTGATAATATCACGAGATAACCAGATGACAAAGATTTTGAACCGAGTTGGCCACAACCATAGTTCCACGCGGCCGCAACCAGGGGACAGCTGCCGGGACGCCCGCTCCGGACTTTGGAAGCACGCTTCCTGCACTCGCATGTTGCATGGACGTCGAACAGTTAGAGGGGCGGTGCACACTGGAGGACGCATGCCTGACATGCGCCTCTCGGCGAGTCTGTCGATGAACTGGCTGCCTTCGCCTGCTGTCACCGGAGGAACCCATCCGGGCCGTCCGCGAGCCCGTCTTCTTGTTTGTGCGGGCTCGGCGAGTGACGTTTGATGCCCGCACCGCTGGGAAGTACTGCATATTTTTTCCATCGGACACGGCCCACCTCACTCACGCTGTGACTGACTTGTAGGCAAGGAGGGTCCTGTCAGATGCCAGGTGCCCAAGGACAGCAGCAAGTCGGCCGGCCGCCCTGTTTCTAACTTTGTCCAGGGCAGCCAGTTAGGGAGCCGATCTGGGCCCTCGGCCTCGGCTTTCCGTAGATCGGCGGGTCTGGGTTAGCGGCGTCCGAGGGCTTCTCGCCTAGGTGTCCCTGTCGAGGCGTTTGCGGGAGTTGCTCTTGGGCAGATCCCGGGGCGGGCGCGGAAGCGGAGCAGGCCGGGATAGCCCTACCTTGGGCCAAGCCGCCTTTGCCCCGCAATGAGAAACGCGCCTTGGCCTCGGTACCGACAGCGCCGCAAGCCGCAAGCCGCAAGCCGCAAGCCGCTCTCATCGGCTCTCTAGCACGACACTTGACGTATTCTTGGTGTCATGAAGCATGCCATGTGGTCCACAACTGCCACATAGTCCACACCGCTCGTGCTGTCGTGGCTGGGCAGTTCTCTAGAATGACGTCGCCGTCAGGGTGCCATGTCTGAGAGCCCAAAACAGGTCGGGTTGGTCAAGCGAAGATATGGAATATCTACGAAAAAAGAAACGAGCAAAAAATCATGCCGTGTATTTCGACAGCCTCGCGTGCTATGCACACTCGCCGGGGTCTGGAAGCCGCCACTAGACCTGGACTATAGTCTGGTCTATATTGTGCAGAAGCAACCCAGTGTAAATCATGCGTTTTGGAAAAGGTCTGCCGCCTTCGACCGGCACCACTCCTATCCTCCTTTCACATTTACGACGGCCCGTTCTCGTATGTGGCTGGCGTAACACAATTCGCGTGTCCTATCATGGCCGGCGTCTTCGCAAGGCATGAGATGGTACTATACCAGGCAATGGCCGTAGTTAGTGGGCAGCTGAATGCCTTCTTCCCCATTCTGGCGCGGCTTCGGCGTTGCCATGCAGATGCAAGCCCTCTCAAGTGCAGAGATGTGGATGTTGGCTCCGAAACACTCCGACACTTGCCAGCCAGCCAGCCACGGTTCGGCTAGCCTGGGCAATAGTGTGTCTTATCTCTGCGCGTGTTCCAGCGACCGACCTAACTGGTCTGGACCGTTATTTCTATGTGGGTTTCGCCGTCGCGTGACCGCATATGTGCCTTGCATGTGTTGCATCTCGCGCGCAAACGAGGCGAGGCTCACCTGGTGCTCGTTCAATGGTTGGCGGTTGAGAAGCGAGTGCCCTCACTGCGCCAATATTCACTCCCGGACATTGGACGGATACCCGTGCGGTGCGTATTGTGCGTTAGTGCGAATGGGGTTATAATTAGGTAGGTATTGTACCTGGTTGGTCGGCGTCAATCTCTCATGCCAGATCGATATGCGCAAAGGCAAAGAGGCCGTGACGGCCCAGACGTTAAGTTACGGCAAAAAGATTGGGCACGCGGCCGACAAGACTCGAGAGGCTGTTGCGCATACGGATATCTTTTACAAATCAACCACCCTGCTCCCCCCCCCCCCCGGCTCCTCGCTGCCGTGTGTCGGCCCCAAAGCCAGCCCGTTCAGGCCAGGCCAGCGTGACGTCAGGCGGCGCCCGTCTCGAGCCAAAGAGGAGATTGAAAGGCTCTTGCTGGGGTCCCCGAATGTGGAAAATAACGCATTGCGCCCCAGTCTGTCTTCGGTCTGGGTCTGGGTCTGGAGACCAGAGATGAATTGGCTGGCTGGTTGGCTGGCTGGCTGGCTGGCTGGCTGGCTGGCTGAGAAAGGCAAAAGATAGATGGGATGACGTCCATATGGGCCACACATATTGGTTGAACTCCAGGCTGGGTCTGACACTGGACGGGCTGTTCTGTTCTGAGGAGGAGAAAATAGAAAGGTTTCTGGTTGCAACAGCAGTGCAGCGCACATGTCCACCTCCCCGGGGTTTGAAAGGTTAGTGCGATACAACCAAGCCACCACGTGACTTTTTGGTGAGAACCTGCTAGAAAAGTGACTTCAAACCCCCTGCAATAGTCAAAGTGCTAACATTTCAAACCTCAGGGGAGGTGTACTATGTACAGTACATACATACACGTGTCGACCAGTGCGCGTCTTGTCTTGGCGTACTGGCTGCTTGAGCCAGTGGTGGGCCCGGTTTGGATGGAGGGGCTTGGAGTTGGGGGCAAATCGGGATCCCCAGATCCAATACCGCCTACGTGCATAATCCAGAGAGAGCCCATCCCGGTTTGACAAGCCAGACCCCGCACCTCCTTCCTCGCTCTCCGCTTTCCACCCCGCGGGTGGCCTTCCCATGTGCTTCTTGCGCCTTTCTTGGGAAACAAAGGAAGCCCTTTCTCGGCTGCGGAGATCTGCCCTGGATCTCGTTGTCTCCGATCCGTCCTGCACTCCCCTCCCACCCGGCTCGGGTGCCCAGCACTGGAACCCCGACAGCGAGGCAGCAAACGAGAACCATCTTCCAGGCTATTGAAATAGAATGGGCTGGCTATTGGCCCGAAACCGGGACGGAAAGAAGCAACCAAAGTTCTAGACTCGCCGTTTAGCTCCTCCCTTGCTCTCTCACCCCATCGTGTTTGCTCCCTTTTGAGCCTTTGACCCACACCGGCTTCAAAAGCGGAAGGCGCCCTCGGGACCATCACGACGACAGTACGGTAGGCGCATGTACTCCACCGCACCTAGAACAAGCTAGGTACCCGATAGATACTAGGTCACAGCCCAGCAGTAAGAAGGAGCGGGATTCTCGTTGCAGGGCTCTGCTTCCTTCCTTTTCGTCTTTCCATCCCAAGATATGAGGCCTACCAATGCAGGTCCAGCCGAGGGGCCTATACCTAGACGTAATTGGGCCAAAAGCAATCGAGATAGCCGGCGACAAGAGTCGTGGGCTGATGCTGCAGGTGCCCGTGCAGGTCGAGAGGCGTGTGAGGGGTCTCTTTTCCTTTTTCTTTTTTACTGTCTTCTCTGCACACAGCAAGCCACCAAACAGGAGCATTTCCTCCCCTCTTTTGCACGTGTAAGGTAGCTTCATTTCTCGTGTCTCTTCTCTCCACTGGCCCCGACTTCTGCCATGGCTTGGCTGTCTCTTCTCGCCGGCCGCGACGGTCTGGATCATCATGCTTCGTTTTCGTGGGCTTTTCTTTTCTTTGCTTTTCTGCCCTTCGATATGAGATGCCTCTACCCGGGCTGTGCCGAGGTACGTATCCCATTCTCTGCCTCTGAGCCCACCACCCCTAGACCAAGTGCCGCTGTCAGGTTTAGGGTAGTCGTTGGTGGTGTGGGAATATGCATTTGCGCGTGTGTTATTCGCCGCCTGCCCTGCGCTCCCGCACCCCCTACCTACCTTGGTACTGTACTACAGTGTATGCCTTGGGATATACTGGGTGTGGAAGTTGCCTAGATACACGCCGGA